TTCGACTTTCTGTTTTTTTGATTTTTTAGTTATTCGATTTTTCAAAATGTTGCGACTTTTTAAATCTTACATTCTTCGATTTTTCAATTTTTTGATTTTTTGATTCGTTGATGTTTTATTTTTCTAAATTTTCAATTTTTCGAATTTTTAAATTTTAAACTTTTCACTTTTTTGTTGTTTCGATTTCTCAATCCTTCGATTTTTTGCCTTCTCGTTTTTAGCTTTTTCAGTTTTTCGATTTATCGGTTTTTTGTAGCTTAAATTTTTCAGTTTTGAATTTTTCCATTTTTCGATTTTGGATTACATATTTCGCTTTTTCGACATCTCGACTTCTCGACGTTTTGATTTCGTGATTTTTCAATTTTTCGATTTCTCAATTTTCCGATATTTCAGTTTTATGATTTTTCTTTTTTAATTCTTCAAGTTTTCAATATTTAAATATTTCAATTTTTAGAGCTTTCAACTTTTTCAACTTTTTGTGCGTCTGAATTTTCGATTTGCCAATTTTTCAGTTTTTGGCAATTTTTTAATTTTCCAACTTTTCGATTTTTCGTCTTTCCAATTTATCAACTTCTCAAATTTTCAATGTTTACATTTTGGGATTTTTCAATATTTCGATTTTTGTTATTTTCTACTTATTCGACTTTTCAAAATTTTGTGACTTTTTAAATCTTACATTTTTCGATATTTAAATTTTTTCATTTTTGGATTTGTTGATGTTTTGATTTCTCAATTTTCTAAATTTTCAAATTTTCGAATTTTTAAATTTTAGATTTTTAACTTTTTTGTTGTTTCGATTTCTCAATCTATATCTATCTATTTTTTGGTTTTTCAATTTTTCGGAATTAATTTTTCAGTTTTTCGATTTGTGGGCTTTTTTAAGTTTAAATTTTTCAATTTTTCGATCTCTCGACTTTTCGACTTTGTGAATTTCGATTTTAGACAATTTTGATTTTTCAATTTTCGATTGGTCGATCTTTCGTTTTTGACTTTTCCCCTTTTTCGATTTTGGACTATTTCAATTTCTCAATTTTTCGATTTTTCGATCTTTTGATGTTTCCATTTCGCGATTTTCCAATTTCTCGATTTCTCAGTTTCTGGATTTTCATCATTTCGATTTTCCAAATTTTCGATTTTTCGACATTTTTGTGGCTCGATTTTTAAAAATTTTCGACTTTGCTTTATTTGGATAGCTCGATTTTTCAAGTTTTTGTTTTCTTAGTTTTTCAACATTTCAGTTTTGGGAATTTTTCAATTTTTCGAGTTTTCAATTTTTCTATATTTTCATTTTTCGATTTATTGTTTTTATGTTTTCATTGCTTGGTCTTTCCATTTTCCAAATTTTTAAATTTTTGATTTTTCACTTTTTTGGATTTTTCGCCTTTTCGTTTTTCGATGCCGTTTCCATCTGTCTGTCTGTCTGTTTGTCGAGTGTCTGTATCTAGTTTTATAAGACGAGTAACCTTTGAAACTACTGGACCAATTGCTGTCAAATTTTGTATGTGTATTATGAATATCATGTAAACGTTAAATGTAATTTTTGAAAAATTAGTCATCAGTATTTGCTAAGATAAAACTAATTTCGGCAATGACATATGTACCTCCTAAAACAAGATAGGGTGCGTGGGCGGTACTAGTAGCTTCCAAGATAAAGCTGATTTTGGCAAATGAGAAAAATATAACATATTGACCTAGATTTTCAAAATATGCAGTTTTAAAGTCGAATTTTTAAAATATCTCAAGAATTACATTTTCTTTGTTTTGACGATTCTAGAAAAATTATTTAAATTTTCGCAGAAAAGAATCCGAAAAACACTTGAAGAAGTCGAAATCAGCAAAATGAACCTTCTGTAATTTTCAAAAATACTCGGGAAAATGTCAAAAATTTCATAGAGGAGGGTGGATTTTGAAAAGTTGAATTTTTCGAAAAATTTGCCCAAAAAATCCGGGAAATATTCGATTTCAAACTCAAATTTTTAAAATATCTTAAAAAACGTAATATTTCATTTTGACAATTCTGGAAGAATAGTTGAAATTTTAGACGACATGTAAAGCCAAAAAACACTAAACGATGTCGAAATTTGGAAAAGGAGCTCTTTCGGTAATTTTCGAAGCTACTAAGAGGAACGTCAAAAATTTCATAGGTACTGGAGACTATTGAAAAGTTGAACTTTTAGAAGAAGTGACTAAAAATCCACAAAAAAATCTGAGACATAGATTTTGGGAAGTCGAATCGAAAAATATAGCATGTTGACGACCCCGAACCCAGATTTTCAAAATATGCAGTTTCAAAGTCGAATTTTTAGAATATCTCAAGAATTATATATTTTTTATTTTGACGATTCTAGAAAAATTATTTAAATTTTCGCAGAAAAGAATCCGAAAAACACTTGAAGAAGTCGAAATCAGCAAAATGAACATTCTGTAATTTTCAAAAACACTCGGGAAAATGTCAAAAATTTCATACAAGAGGGTAGATTTTGAAAAGCTGAATTTTTCGAAAAATTTGCCCAAAAAATCCGGGAAATATTCGATTTCAAACTCAAATTTTTAAAATATCTCAAAAAAACGTAATATTTCATTTTGACAATTCTGGAAGAATAGTTGAAATTTTAGACGACATGTAAAGCCAAAATACACTAAAGGATGTCGAAATTTGGAAAAGGAGCTCTTTCGGTAATTTTCGAAGCTACTAGGAGGAACGTCAAAAATTTCATAGGTATTGGAGAGTATTGAAAAATTGAACTTTTAGAAGAATTGACTAAAAATCCACAAAAAAATCTGAGACATAGATTTTGGGAAGTCGAATCGAAAAATATAGCATATTGACGACCCCGAACCAAGATTTTCAAAATAGCCAGTTTCAAAGTCGAATTTTTAAAATATCCAAAGAATTATATTTTCTTTATTTTGACGATTCTAGAAAAATTATTTAAATTTTCGTATAAAAGAATCCGAAAAACACTTGAAGAAGTGGAAATCAGCATAATGAACCTCCTGTAATTTTCAAAAACACTCGGGAAAATGTCAAAAATTTCATACAGGAGGGTAGATTTTGAAAAGTTGAATTTTTCGAAAAATTTGCCCAAAAAATCCGGGAAATATTCGATTTCAAACTCAAATTTTTAAAATATCTTAAAAAACGTAATATTTCATTTTGACAATTCTGGAAGAACAGTTGAAATTGGAGACATGTAAAGCCAAAAAACACTTAAGGATGTCGAAATTTGGAAAAGGAGCTCTTTCAGCAATTTTCGAAGCTACTCGGAGGAACTTAAAAAATTTCATAGGTATTGAAGTGTATTGAAAAATCGAACTTTTAGAAGAATTGACTAAAAATCCACAAAAAAATCTGAGACATAGATTTAGGGAAGTCGAATCGAAAAATATAACATGTTGACGACCCCGAACCAAGATTTTCAAAATATGCAGTTTCAAAGTCGAATTTTTAAAATATCTAAAGAATTATATTTTCTTTATTTTGACGATTCTAGAAAAATTAATTAAATTTTCGCAGAAAAGAATCCGAAAAACACTTGAAGAGGTCGAAATCAGCAAAATGAACTCCTTCTGTAATTTTCAAAAACTCTCGGGAAAATGTCAAAAATTTCATGCAGGAGGGTAGATTTTGAAAAGTTAAATTTTTCGAAAAGTTTGCTCAAAAAATCCGGGAAATATTCGATTTCAAACTCAAATTTTTAAAATATCTTAAAAAATGTAATATTTCATTTTGACAATTCTGGAAGAATAGTTGAAATTTTAGACGACATGTAAAGCCAAAAAACACTTAAGAATGAAGAAATTTGGAAAAGGAACTCTTTTGGTAATTTTCGAAGCTACTAGGAGGAACGTCAAATTTTCGGGTACTGGAGGGTATTGCAAAATTGAACTTTCAGGAAAATTGACTAAAAATCCACAAAAAATCTGAAACATGATTTTGGGAAGTCGATTCGAAAAATATAGCATGTCGACGATCTCGAACCAAGATTTTCAAAAGAAGCAATTTCAAATTCGGGTTTTTAGAATATCTCAAGAATTATAATTTTTCATTTCGACGATTCTGGAAAAATGGTTGAAATTTTTGCAGAAATGAATCATAATTATTGAAAATACTTACTCGGCAAAATGTCAAAACTTTCATACAGGAAAAATTGAGCTTTTGGGAAAATTATAAAAATTCTGGGGTATGGATTTCGACAAGCTGATTGAAAAATGTAGCGTGTTTACTGAAATTGAAACATTCGGTTTGAAAATATATATTTTTTTTAATCCTGAAAATTGAATAACACAGGTAGTCTAAACCAGGTTACTAGCTCCTGAGTAACTTCTAGTAGTATATGGTGAGGATTCTGGCTCACTTTGAGCTCAACCCTAACCTATCCTAACCTCACCTGACCTACCTTAATCCAATTTTTGTATGATTTTAATAATAATAATTAATGAGGTATCGCGCATAGCGACTCAGCGTGTACACTTTACAGCAAACAAAGGTTGTCTAAACCGACTAACCTAGCGTCTTAAAGGTCAAGTTGAAGTGGAATGAATGCTTCGTTACATAATTTATTCCTAAGCTTTTTTCCAGAACATGTTCGAAGCTTTTAACATATCAGGATATTGAAGACGTCCTTGCCAACTCAAATTGAGCCAAAACCACGCACAGTTAATCAAAACTGGCTTTAAAGCTTGCAAAGTTTTTGTGCAAATCAAGCGTCCCATTAATTTAAGTTCTGTTATTTCGCACCGATCGCGCCTTGTCCAAAACCAGTTGCGTTTTGTTTTCGCATTAACGAGCTTAACTTCGACTAAATCTCAGCTCGCGAGGCGATGTCGAGTCGAAAAAAGTCGAGTCCGGTGTTTGTTCTGGTTGATGACATTCATTTCGGCGTACAAGCTCGTCAATCGCGTTCCAGAGGTGCACCTCGATAAAAGCAATTCCTCTCGAAACCCGTCCCATTCAATTTGCATAGTCCATTTCCACCCAAAAATGAAGATTGACTCACCTTCTCGCACACACTTCTGCAGGAGCCCGTGGTATGCGAACAGCACATTAAATCTGCAACACATAAAACCGTCTCAGCAAAAAAGCTCACATTTGTCACATCAATCATCAACTTATAATTGAGTTGTTTTTTGACAGGCGAGTCGTGGCGGAATAAATCAACCATTCGAAAACAAATTGCAAAATTCGGAAAAAACGAGCAAAAGCGCTCGAGCAAATTAAATTGCGTCAATAAATTGTGAATGCGCGATGGCATATTAATAATTTGCATATTCCTGCGATCGGAAAGGTTAACTAACAAGTTGTCGGGCCGGGGGCTTATTTATGCCCATAATGGCCTGTCAATCACTGTTTTCTTCTTTCGCCAAATTGGCCAGCTGGAGTAAGTTATCACTGAGAGCAAAACGTGACTGGATGAATGATGGGCTTCTGTCGACGAAAGTGAAACTATAAAATAGAACAAACGATCGGAGGCGATTGTTTGAGCGACATTTATTGGCATTCCGGGGCTCCAGCACGCGGAAAGGTTCACGTGAGCTTATTACCATAATAAATTATTAAACTTATTATTCCGTACCGGAATGTAATTGGAAAAAAGTAAAACGATCACGTAACCAAGGTCGACTTTTAACAGAAATTAATCAGGTGTCTACAGACAGCTTTACATCTTGCTTGCAACATTCTTTGGATTTTTAACGCGGATGCAAGAGGTTGCCGTTTATCTTGAGCGGGACGAACGGCAGCTGTGGAGAATACAGACTGTGGACGCCAAATTCGGAAGCGTTTTTGCGTAACGGAACCCAAAAATTATGCACGGACAGGACCGGATTTACCAGCGTGGAGCCCCATGTACGGATACGCTAAAAGGTCATTGTAAAATTTACTTACTCTCCGACCAAGTTTAAATTTTTTTGTAGTAAAGCGTTTTCTTAGTCATCGTACCTTTTTTAATATTTTTATTTGACCATTTTTTGCTTCACCTGCGATACATACAAGTATCGTAACCGACTACTTTTACGTTTTGTCGACGTTTCATGACCCCTAGAACACGAAAAATAGGTCGCCCGTTTTCATTTGCCTGTCGCCTGTCTGTCTGTTTGTATATCTGTCTGTGTCGATTTTTATTAGACACATATTTCCGAAACTACGACTGTTGTTAAATTTTTTATGTATTCCTATAGATTTGCAAAAAAATCAAATTTGCAAGATTAAATATTAGAATCTTTTAAAAAAGCTGGATTTGTTGTACTGTGCTTCACGGGCGCGGGAAACAACCTTTAACCGATTTTTTAAATTGTAGATTTTTCGATTTTACGAATTTTAGATTTTTTTTATTTTTAGATTTTTCTATTTCTCGATTTTTCACTTCTTCGATTTTTCTATTGTCAATTTTTCCAATTTTTAAGTTTTAGATAATTTTTAATTTTTTGAATTTTAAAATTTTAGATTTTTCGAGTTCTCAATTTTGAGGTTTTTAATTTTTTCAATTGTTAAAATTTTTCAGTTTTTCGATTTTTCAATTTTTCAATTTCCCAGTTTTTTGATTTTTCCATTTTCCCATTTTCGATTTATATATTTTATTTAAATTAATTTTTTTTTAATTTTTCGATTTTGCACTATTTTAATTTCTCGATCTTTCGATTTTTCGACTTCTAGAATTGTTGATTTCTCAATTTCTCGACCTTTTTGTTTCGATTTCTTGATGTATCAATTTTTCAAGAATTCATTTTGGGGACTTTTCAATTCTCGATTTCCCGTCTTTTTGATTTTTCAATTTTTTTGGGTTTTCAGTTGTTCGATTTCTTAAATTTTTTGACGTTTCCATTTTCCGCTTTTAAATTTTTTTTTATATTTCAATTTTCCGACTTTTCGATTTCTGGATTTTTCAAGTTTTCGGTTTCTCAATTTTGCAACATTTTCAGTTTTTCGATATTTTAATTTTTTTAATAAATAGGTTTTTCGATTTTTTGATGTTTGGATTGCTCGATCATTGCATTCTTCGGATTTCGATTTTTCGGTTTTTCAACTTTTCGATTTTAAAAATTCTTGATTTTTCATTTCTTCGGTTTCTAAATTTTTAAGTTTTTCAATTTTTTAATTTTATGATTCTCGATTTATTAAAATTTCGATGTTTCGATTGTACAATTTCCCAATTTTTCGGTTTTTCCCAAATCCGGATTTCGATGTATCAATTTTTTTTTATTTTAAATTTTTTACAAAAAATTAGATTTTGGGCTATTTTAACTTCTCGATTTTTCAATTTTTCGACTTCTAGAATTATCGATTTCTCAATTTCTCGATCTTTCAATGATTCGATTTTTCGATGTTTAAATTTTTCCATTTTTCGAGATTTAGTTTGGGGGTTTTTCAATTTCTCCATTTCTCGTTTTTCTGATATTTTAGTTTGGGGGGTTTTAAATTTCTCAATTTCTCGTTTTTTTGATGTTTCAGTTTATTTGGGTTTTCAGTTATCCGATTTCTTAAATTTATTGACGTTTCGATTTCCCAATTTTTAAATTTTTAATATTTCAATTTTTCGACTTTTCGATTTGTCAATTCTGCAGAATTTTTAAATTTTCGATATTTTAATTTTCGGATTTTTTTTTTTAATAATTAGATTTTTCGATTCTTTGATGTTTCGATTACCCGATCTTTTCATTCTTCGGCTTGCGATTTTTTGGGTTTTAAAAATTCTTGTTTTTTCAAATTTTCGATTTTTGAAATTCCTGAATTTTCATTTTTTCGATTTCTGGATCTTTCAATTTTTCAGTTTTCGATCTTTTAAAGTTTCTAATTTTTGATTCTGGATTTATTGAAATTTCGATGTTTCGACTGTACAATTTCCCGATTTTTCGGTTTATCCATTTTCCTTTTTCGATTTATCGATTTTCTAAAATTTTAAATTTTTTACTTATTGATTTTTCAATTTTTGGCTATTTTAATTTCTCGATTTTTCGACTTCTAGAATTGTCCATTTCTCAATTTGTCGTTCTTTTTATGATTTGATTTCTCGATGTTTCAATTTTTCAATTTTTCGAGAATTCAGTTTAAGGAAATTTTCAATTTCTAGGGTTTCAAGTTTTCGATTTTTCAATTTTTCTACATTTTCAATTTTTCGATGTATTAAATAAATACGTTTTCGACTTTTTGATATTTCAACTGCTCGATTTATCGATTTTCAGGATTTCGAATTTTCGGTTTTTCAATTTTTTGAATTTTTGATTTTTCAAATTTTCCATTTTTAAACTCCTTGATTTTCCAATGTTTCGGTTTTTAAAATTCGCAATTTTTCGACCGTCCCTTGTTTGAATTTTTCGATTTCCCGATTTTTCAATCTTCTGATTCTTCAATTTTTCGATATTTTAATTTTTGGATTTTTTAAATTTTAAATTTCTCGATTTCTCGATTTTTTATTTCTACGATTTTTCTATTATCAATTTTTTCAATTTTTAAATTTTGGATTTTCTAAACTTTCGATTTTTAATTTTTTCACTTTTTCCAGTTTTTCAACTTTTCAATTCTCGATTTATAAAGATTTCGATGTTTCGATTGTTCCATTCTCCGATTTTTGATTTATCGATTTTTTTTTTTAATTTAAATTTTTCAAAAATTAACTTGGACGGTTTCAATTCCTCGATTTTTAGATTTTTCAAATTCTAGAATTTTCGATTTCTCAGTTTCTCGCTTTTATGTTTCGATTTCTAGATGTTTCAATTTTTCGACGCTTCGATTTTTCAATTTTCCAGAATTCAGTTTGGAAATTTTTCAATATCTCGATTGAAACATCGAAAAACTGGAAAATCAAAAACACGAAATTTTCATTTTCTCGATTTTTCAATTTTTCAATTGTTCAACTCTTCAATTTTCCAATGTTTCAACTTTTCAATTTTTCGATCTTAGATTAATCTAGATTTCGATGTTTCGATTATTCAATTTCCCGATTTTTCGATTTATCCATTTTCCGATTTTTCATTTATCGATTTTTTTCATTTTAAATTTTTCAAAAATTAATTTGGGCTGTTTCAATATCTCGATTTTTCGATTTTTCAACTTCTAGGATAATCGATTTCTCATTTTCTCGCTCTTGTATGTTTCGATTTCTAGATGTTTCAATTTTTCGATGTTTCGATTTTCCAATTTTCGAGAATTCAGTTTGGGGATTTTTCAATATCTCGATTGAAACATCGAAAAACTGAAAAATCAAAATCACGAAATTTTCCAATGTTTCAACTTTTCAATTTTTCGATTCTTGGATTATTCGAGATTTCGATGTTTCTATTATTCAATTTTTCTTTTTTCCTTTTTCCGATTTTTCATTTATCGATTTTTTTATTTTAAATTTTTCAAAAATTAATTTGGACTGTTTCAATTTCCGGATTTCTCATTTTCTCGCTCTTTTATGTTCCGATTTCTAAATGTTTCAATTTTTCGATGTGTCGATTTTCCAATTTTCGAGAATTCAGTTTGGAGATTTTTCAATATCTCGATTGAAACATCGAAAAACTGAAAAATCAAAAACACGAAATATTGATTTTTCAGTTTTTCAATGTTTCAATTTTTCAATTGTTCAATTCTTCAATTTTCCAATGTTTCAATTTTCAATTTTTCAATTCTTGGATTAATCGAGATTTCGATGTTTCTATTATTCAATTTCCCGATTTTTCGATTTTCCGATTTTTCATTGATCGATTTTTTTTATTTTAAATTTTTCAAAAATTAATTTGGACTGTTCCAATTCCTGGATTTTTAGATTTTTCGACGTCTAGAATTTTCTATTTCTCAGTTTCTCGATCTTTTTATGTTTCGACTTCTAGATGTTTCAATTTTCGAGAATTCAGTTTGGAGATTTTTCAATTGAAACATCAAAAAACTGAAAAATCAAAAAATACGAAATTTTAATTTTTCAATTCTTCAATGTTTCAGTTTCTCAATTGTTCAATTCTTTAATTTTCCAATGTCTCAATTTTTCAATTTTTCGATTCTTGATTAATCAAAATTTCGATGTTTCTGTTATTCAATTTCTCGATTTTTCCATTTTCCAATTTTCGATTTAT